TAAAAGATAATGCAGAATGTTGGTGAGATTCATTTTACCCAGCTAGGACTGCACTTAATAACTTCAACTTTATGGAGTGGCATATTAAAGTTTTGTGGGCGACTATAGACATATCACTGTCGGAAATACATCCTAACACATTAGGGGTTCTGGAGAGTGTGGATGCCTTAGTCTCTTCGATGACGATAGAGTGTGCAAAAGACATTTATTGATTTCAACTTGCCAGTTGACAAACCCAGTTACAATTACAGGAAAGAACAACACACTTGAATTAATATGCTCTTGTTGGACCGAACATTTATCGCAGTTAATAATCTTATAGGTTCCTGGTTCAATGGCTGCCATTGCGTGGATGGTGATCATGGGTGATGGACTGCACAATTTTACGGATGGAATGGCCATCGGTAAGAGCGGTTTAATTAACTCGAAGGGTGAATGGGACTATCCTTGCAATGTTAATAGCATGACAGGGAAAAAAATTTAATCTCAATTCTAAATTTAACTCTTCAGTTCAATTCTAATTGTTATGTTCATGTTATCCATTTCGTTTTACATTCTTGCATGCTGTTAATACCAACTCGGCAATAGCAGAAACTGAAACGGTTTTCAACTAGGCAGTTGCATTATCCTCTAATTCAAACAGAAAATGGCTAACTGTAAATTGAAAAAAATATACGAGCCATAGCTGTATGGAAAAGTTCGAATCAATTTTAAAAATTGAATAAAATTGCATTTAATCTGCAGTGGTGCACAGCGTTCATACGCCAATGGAGTTTGAAGTAATTACAAAAATTGCCGGAAGTAGCGCTGAGATAATCGGTTGTTTGCGTCAGGACGTGGCAATAGAGTTTACTCAATTTTCCCAAACTGGTATTAAATGAAAAAACGTTCTTGCTCATTTGCAGAGTAGAGAATTGTTTTGTTAAATATACAAATGGGAAAAAGCTGATGAACAGGACCTGGGGAAAGCAACTATCCGAAATTCAGTCTTTCACTCAAAAAGTTAACATCCCTCACCTCAATTGCATACCATGAGACGGACTTGCTTTTTCCACTGAGAAGCGGTATAACCAATGTGTATGTGAAAGAAAAGTGGGTTTGTCAAAGCTGGCATAACGCTGTGTGCGATTTTACATGCCTATTAGAAGGTATTTGACAAGTAGAGGGAAAAATGATTGATGCTGCAGCTGAAACTGCCTCCTCCTGTTAGCTGCAGTCGTTTATTATAAGTTATTGTCAATGTTCACTCAACTGCATTGTACATGCCTTGGTATGCTTAGGGAACTAACACCTTGTGTAGATGAAGGCTAGATATGTTTACAAGGCGTACAGGCTGAATCCGCGGCATTTTTTGACAAACTTTGTTGTTCTACGTGCAGTGTCAGCTGGGAGTATTGTGGTAATTAATGAAATCGGGTAGAATGCGGCCATTCCGCACACTAAATTCATTATATTTAAAAACCTTAGAGTTGTTTTATGCGGATATATTTTATATTATGGTAAAGCTAAAGGTAAATAAACTTTGGCTAGGACTATTGAGTAAAACATGAAAAAGTGCACGTTTCCAATAAAAATCTCGGAAGCGTCCTTAATAGCACAGCAGACGTTACAGTGAACTCTC